CGATCCAGCCCAGAATATTTTTAATTTGCTCACAGTCGGCCTGATTCCAAAATTCTTTGATATGTTGGGCTATGGTCTCTAGGAGTAAAGTTGAAAACACAATTTTATTTTGAAATACTAAATTTTGAGAACAGTAAATGTTTTTCATTTGAGCTATTGAAAGTTAGAGAGTTATCCCTTTAAGTTGAAAAGTGTGACATGCTGATATTCACATTTCTTATATAGAAGGATATTTATTTGCATAAACTTTGTAAATATCTGAAAAGTGTAGCAATTATCTGTAGTTTTAACAAAATCTTGATGGATTCTCTAAGAGTAGCATCAGAATCAATCTATGAGGACAATATTGGGAGCTGTCAGTTTTCAAAAGAATATAGAAACAATTTGCAAACCACATTCAGTATTTTAAAGACCTTTTAAGAATTATTGAATGGGTTTTTTCCATGATGTTTTATTGAGATGCCCTAAAGGAATAAATGTATAGAACCACAACCTTAGAATTCAGTTTCCTTTGTGCTGCAAAAATTTTTACTTGTGAAATCATAAAATATAGAATAAGTCTATTATTGTAGTGTTTTTTAGCTTTTTATCTTTTCTTTGGAGTTACAGAGACGTTAATCTTAAAAAAATTAGTTTCCACTTCCTCTGGAGATGTCTAATAATCTTGTAACAAAGGCTATGCTTTTACACTCTGATAAATTGAGTCCTCTGATCCAATGAAAAAAAAAAAAAAGGAAAAAAAAAAAAAATTTATTCATTCATAAGTCTTTTTGATTTGTAAACAATAATAAAGGGATCTTTTATTTTTTTTTTGTTAACATTTGTACCTTACAAGTTGACATATATTTTGACAACATAAGGTCTGATCAAAAAGTGTAAGGATTGTTGCTATGTTAATGGAGCTAAAGTACACAGTGTGAAGCTTGACCTTAAACTCGGTTGTGCTTGCATGCTAAGTTAGAATGTTCTTGCTCATGTTTGTTGTGCATAGCAGTGTCTGGAAGGAATATGTGTAGAGTGTGGTCATCTCACCACACCACAGTGGTTCCATCAGTGACCATGGCTTGAGCAGAAATTTTTGGTTAAACACAATTCCCTAGGTCTAACAACCACCATATACCCCAGATCTCACCCTTAGAATTTTTTCCTCTTTCCAAAAATCAAAACCCAGTTGAAAGGAACAAGATTTCAAGATATTAAGGAAATACAATGAGGCAGCTGCTTGCTATCCCATAAAAGGAGTTCCAGGAATGCTTCCATCAATGTAAATGTTGCTGGATAAAGTGTGTGGATTCAGAAGGGGACTACTTCGAAGTAGATTAAATACTGAATTGATATGGGCTGCAGTTTACTTTTTACATCACCAGTCCCGATACTTTTTGATCAAACCTTATATATAAAAACTCATTGTGTGTGGGTGGGGGCATTGTTATATTAGTAGGATGTAGAATCTGAACAAAATTGGAGAAATGAAACAAGTGGAAAAGCTTCTTTTTTTTTTTTTTTTATACCTCCATTGAATTTTCAATACCTAAGGTTTAAAATGAATTTTTAAAAATGAAAAAGCATTCTTGAAGATTTCATTTTAGTTTTAATTGAAAGCTAAATGATTAAATTTACTTTATGATCCAGTAAGCAAAATACTCTGTATTTCAAATAGAAATTGATTGGAATGTCAACTTTTTGCTTGCTTTCACAAAACTGATTACAATCGGTTATTTTCTCATATTTGTAAACAAAATTTATCAGTTTTAAAAATCTTCCAAAAATAAAATATATATTTGTAACACATTATTTGAGGAAAATTTGTTAAATTCATCTGATTTTAAACCAGTGTTACTTATAGCATAAAAAAACATGGCATACAAGCCTTTCTTAAACACAAGCCCTGTTTTTCTGACAGGCTATGACCAGAATTGATATAAATTTACAAAATCTAAGTGAACACATTTTTGGGGTTTTTTAACTCTCTAGTAATTTTTACAAATTAATATATTTTCAGCAATTATCTAATTTATTGACTTTTAGTTACTATAGTGTTATAGCCTTAAATTTGAAGATGCTTTCTGAAAAAATAATAAAAATTAAAATAATATAAAAAGGAATAAACTGAAAAAAAGTAAAAAAAAAAAAAAACTACTAATAAAAAAAAATATTTCTAGGTTGTTTCTTAAAAATTAATCAATTGAATCGACATGCACTAAAATAAATACGTAAAATAAAATAAAATAAAAATATTTAATGAAATAGAAATTTAAAAAAGTAAAACTTACTTTAAATTTCAAAGTTTTAAAACTTTGAAGGGATGATGTGCCAAGCCTGTTGAGACGTAAATACGAAATGTATAAATTGCAGATTTGTGTATTTCTCATTAAAGGGAGGACGACTCTTACAACACATGACCTTTTAATAATAATGTTATATATAGACTACCGTACATAGAAAAATGGACATGTTTAAATTAAAAAATTAAAAATTATTTTTAAAATATTGGGGGTAAATGACTTAAGCTTTTAATTTTTTTAATTCATAAATATAGTTTCCACTTAATTACAATATCACCTAAAAGAAAGTATGCAGAATTTTGAATGATTTTTAAATTATAATTAAAATTTAAAAAAAAGGAAAATACTTTTTGTAAAAATTCATTATTCATCGAAAAAAGACAGCGTCCTTAATAAAAGCAATTAAAAGTTTTTCTAATTAAATAATGTCACAGTTTTATTCCATTTTTTTTTTATTTTATGATTTGGAGCAGATCTTCAGGAAATAAGTAGTTTGAAAAAAGAAAACCATTGGATGATTTACATTCTCCAAGGAGTCCTACTAATAAAAAAATTTTTTGGAAAGAAAATTTAATTTCTTGAAATTTCATGAAATTAAGTGGGAGATGAAAAAAAGTTTTTTACCAAGATTTTCTAAAAAAAAAAAAAAAAAAATTTCAAAATTAATTTCATTCATTTGTGAATAAGTCTTGAAAGTTTCATTAAAATCTGGCATATCTGATTTTTGCAAGAATTTCCAAATCAATGCATTCTTCACCAGGAAAAAGCACAAAAACCTAATTGAAATTCTTATGTCAACCGATGATATAAAAAAAAAATAAGAATCTTAACCAAAATTTCAAGCATGTTAGAAAGAAGTAAAAAATTAAAAAAATTAAATACTTTGGTTTTCCCTCTTAACAAACATCTTGACAATAAAACTTTGTTTTTATTAAGTTTAGGACCTTTTTTTTCATCATGCCATGCTGTTTTTCAGCAAAAAGTGGAGGTTCTAATTTTTAATGACAACACATTTCACCTTCAAGTACTAGGTTGGCATCTTCAGGTCAGAATGAATGACAAATTTCAAATCCAACAGACAATAGCTTCACTACCAAAAACACTGTTTTGTCTTTAATTCTGACCTGATGATGCCAACCTCACACACAAAAGTGAAATGCATTGTCATTAAAAAGCTCCCTCCCCCCACATACACACACTGCAATGGATAAATTGTCTAAATTACACAAAAATGAAAATAGCACTGACATCTCATTTTAAGAGATATTGACCAAAATTGCACTAAAATATCTTGAAATACTAAAGAGTAAATTTATTCAATAAAATTGTCATTGGCTTCAACCATGGTTTCCAGATGACTTTGGAATCTCCTGCAACTCTTCTGGACAGTCTCCTTGTTGGTGAATGCTGTCATAATTGCACCCTGTGTGTGTGTGTGTGTGTGTGTGTGTGTGTATATATATATATATATATATATATATATATATATATATAAAATTTCATAATTATAATGACTCTTGTTTAAGTACTCTAGTCTCTCAACTAATACTTACTTGAGGCTACTTTGTCACTGATGACTGCTGATAGACATTTTCTGTAACCTACAATAAGGTTTCTATATCTCTCAAATGATTTTTTTTTTACTATTCTTCTATTGCAGGTTTATTCTAAATCTTTCAAATTTGATTTCTTCTATTATGAACCACAATTTTCAATTCATACTACAAATGTTTCAGTGGATTTAGGTAAAGTTTTTTTTTCAAAGACGGTTCCATTACCCTAACCACTTATTCTTAAATAATTCTACCGTTTTCAAGCACGTGACCTGTCGTTAACGTGTTGGTAGATGAGTCATCTAACAACTCTAAACTGGACAGCAGAGAGTATAAGATTTATCAAAAGGATATTTTAACAAACCCATTTCTCGTCAGATTCTCAATACCTTCTGTGCTGGAGCAAAACCTATAAAATGACATGTATGCCACCACGCTTCATCTTTTGTATTTTAGCTTGTACATTGTGTGTTGGAGTCTTTATTTCTGAAAATCAAATGCTGCTGCTTATGTCTGAAAATTTGTCTGTTTTTTTTCTCACTGTTCACTCAATATAAGGCCCAGGGGCCACTCAATCTAGATGGTTACTAAGTAAGATTATAAGGGAGGAGGAAGTAAGAATATTTTTTGCCTAACAAAAAATGTATTCAAGTGATACAAAGCCTTTTAGCAATATGTAAATGCATTGTTTTATGTGTTTTCTTCACCAGTGTTTTTTTTTTTCTTCTTCATGTATCCTGTCCATAAAATATTTGTGGGTTCGATGTTTTGGAAATTGTTCAGATATGTATCTCTGTTCACCATTCCTCAAATCTGTATGGATATCATTTTGAGTTGGCTAAAACTGAGTTGATTACTGTTCTCCCATCAAATTTGGTATGGTTAATTAAAAAATATAAGGGAAATGATCTAGGATCTAAATACTTTTGGATACAATATGTGTGTTTTGATGATATACGTGAAAAAAAAAAAAAAAAAAACATAATTTATATCTGGAATTATTTTATTTCACAGATAAATGTATATTAATTTTGTAATTACATTGTATTTTATAAAATATCTAAAAACTTAGATATTGACACTTTTTTATTATCTTGGTTAAATCCATATTGCAATAGGTTTTACTAGTTTGTGTACAATTGTTTTGTTTTCTTTACTCTAGGGAAATATGGATGCTGAACTGTACCAAGGTGACTATGTCAAAGATGGTGGAGAATTTTTTGATCCCACAAGTAGAAAGGCTGCCAAGAAAGCTGGGCATGGTGCCAAGCCAGCTCACCTTCGAGGACTTTCAAAGGTAAAACAAATTCCCACTTTAATCCTTTTAAGTTTTGAAAATTTGTTGATATCACTAAATCTTAAAATAATATTTCTATCTTTTCTCTCTCTCTCTCTCTCTCTCTCTCTTATCGGTATGAACATTATTTTTAGTGGGTACAAGTTTCAGTTGCTATCCCTGTTTCTTTTGTTTTGCTGTTTTTCATAAACAGTGAATTTAATAACAATTGGCCTAGATTGAGAAATCTTCCTAAAAAAAAATTGTGTCTCCAATAAAAATTGAATCTGTATCCTTTTTTTTTCCATGAAGGAAATGAATACAGATTCAATTCATGAAGGAAATGAATACAGATTCATGTTGGCGACACAATTTTTCTTTAGCAGGACTTCTCAATCTAGACCAGTTGTTAATTTTACTGGTTATGAAAATAAAAAAAAATGGGGATAGCAATTTTCTGATTATGGCCAGCATTTATGCTTGCATTTACTTACCATCCTTCAGTTGTTACTTTATTTGCTTGTAGTTTTGCTGTTTAACCCAGAAGGTCAAAGCAAGCATGACAAATAATTCTCCACCTTCTTGTTCTTAAGACATCTCCACCTTTATTTACATTGTTGATAGACTCTGTAGATATGTGTGGTCATTTTGCCTTGACAATTTAGTTTACCTTCTCCAAATTGTATCTATTTCTGATATTTTAGTGAATACAAGGGAAAAAAAACACCTGCATTTAATTCTATGCAGTTTCACTTACAAATTTTCAGATCCAAATTAACTACTGGTTTGTATTTGTTTTTAAAACATGAACCGTTAATATAAGTAACTCTTTCAAACAATAGAATTTACTTTAGACTTAAAAACAATTCTGACAAATACTGTTCACTATATTTTCCAAAGTAGCAGGTGCTATTACCAGTTCTGCAGAGTGCCACTCAAAGGAAACTGATCTTTGCTGGTGTCACCCTTTCCAAGAAAGAATGAGGAATTGTCTGTCTTGTAAGTGGTCAAAGGTTGAGTCTATTTAACCCCACTGAGTCATGCACTTAACCACCTGTGCCAATAGTTAAAGGAACAATCTTTACTTTCTTCAGTCTTCCATCATCCAGTAGTTAGGTCATTTATGCTTTCAGTATTCAAGAAATGTTGAGTAAATTTTCTTTTGTGATTGGTCTTCAAAGACAAATTTTACACTCTGATCTTGTGTGCCTGAAAAATATTCCTGATATTTCATGACAGATTTTGCTTTGTTGGTTGTGTCGATGTTCCAATCAGCAAATTTATAAAAAAAAAAAAAAAAAAAAGTATCCAGCCAATTTTCATATTTTAAATAAAAAGAAAATTGCCTACATTGAACAGTGGCACCTTAGTCTACGTCAAATGCTCTCTTGAAGACTTTCCACTTTTCAAACTATTCTGAAAAATTCTTTTTGAGATTACCATATTTCCATGATGTTCCAACTCCCAAGTAGTTAAGTCATAAAAAACAAATCATTCAATTTCATAATATTTCAATGACACTTTTAGCTTTGATAAAAGAAATCTTGATTGCAATCAGTGTGTGGGCTAGCTGACAGACCTGATTGGAGCTATGTCAAACCCACTTTGACTAGATGTGTATAAATGCTCACATTCAGTTATTATAAAAATCAGCCACATGTTACACAAGTTCACTTAATGATGTCTCACTGTTGACTGAGAATAGGAGAGCGACTGTGCACACATGTGCAGTAGGATCTCTTCTTATTGGTTTCTAAGCGACATCAAGACTGCACAACTTGTTCTTCAGATGTTCAAAATGGATAATGGTGGGAAGATGAATCACCCAAATTTTAGTTATAATTGCTATTGATTGTTTAAATAGCCCCTTAGTTGAACCACTGTTGTTTATTTTTACAAACTCTATTGAATCAAATTTGCCTGATTTTCAAGTTGTAATTTTTCACAACCTAAGCACTCTAAAAAAAAAAAAATTAGATAAATAACCATATTCATTCTGCTGCAATCCCAAATTTCACAGATTTTATGCATCCATTTCTCATTTAATCATGGATCTTTTTACTGTTTTTATGTTCTGTGCCCCCTTCAGTATGTGGGTGATCATGGCTCTTCATAGCTTCCTATTTATTGCAACACTAAACAATATTTATAACCTTACTATCCCTCCTTGTTCATATTCTGCTGTCCATTTACAAAAACACGTTAAGATGTTATTTGCAGTTTCCCTCTGGTCTTTTGCCATCAATATGTCCTTGAGTGTCAAATTCTCTAAACACTCTTTCTTTGAGTCCCAAACATTTTGGCTGTCTCTTTCTGATTCTAAGTAAGATAGTCTTTTTTTTTTTTTGCCCATTTTCTTTAAAACTTCCTTGTTGCTTACATGCTCCAGCTATGTTATTCTCATCATCCTTCTGTAGAACATCTCCATTGCCTCAAGTCACATCAACATCTGTGAGGAAATTGTACAGTATTCACTATCTCATTATTTTACAATGATATACAGGGCTAATCCTTATTGTAAATAGCTTATTTTGAACAATTTCCACACTGTTTTCACAAAAATTGGTCAGTGTTTCTCATAATTTTGCTATTTTCAGTAATGACGGGTTTTTTTTTTTTTGTCATCCATACTTCAGCTGTCTCCTTGGATACTCATGGATATTAATGACATATTTGTAACAAAAACTAAAAATGCAATCTGTTTTGTGCATTAAAAGGCAAACCTGATTTTTATATCCTAGAAAGGGTTTGTCTGTGCTTTGAATATTGCTGCCACATATGGTCTGGTCCTCCTGCTCTATATATTTAGAGCTCCTTGATAAAATCCAAAAAATTTGCAACATCCTTATTCCTCACCTGGCATTTTGCCTTCAGTCATTTTCCCACCCACTGTAATGTAGCTTTCCTGTGATATATATTTTTCTATAAATTATTAATTGTTCTAATAAACATTTTTCTATGATAACTAGACTTCATGAATTTAAGCGTAGTACTAGATTAGTGGCTAGGTCTCCTCATTTTACTGTTGCAATGGCTAGATGTAAATGTAAGTTCTATGCTAACAGTTTCTTTTTTCATATTTCTCATTTGTGGAACTCTCTTTTGGCTTCTTGCTTTCCAGTTTGATCTTCAAAAATTTAAATGCAATGTCAATTTTTATCTTTTTGTCTTAATTTCTGTTCTTTTATTTTCTCTCTCCTTAATAATGTTTTCTTTTTCTTATATTCTTTCACACTCAGTACCTACCTCCATTGTGTCTTAGTAGCTTTGTTACCTTGCTTGGGATGAAACAATAAAAAACACATAAAATAAATAAAAAAATGGAGAGAGGCACAGGACACAGCATGAGAAGATAACAGATGGAGTTAAAGGTTACTTGATTAATACCCATTTGGCAGCAAATGCAGTCTAACAAAAGATGGGGAGATAGGATAGAAGATTTTACTGGTACGTCATGGCATAGAATAGCACAGTCACAGTTGTCATGGAAGGAGTCAGGAAAGGCATTTATCAGGGAGCTCACAATGATTAATGAGATTTACATACCCAAGGAAAGTACTGAACAGCTGTTGGCCGACCTGCTTTCTAAAACCGAAACAAATGACCAAACATTAGGATTTCTTACATACATTTATTTTGTTCCTATTATTTACAATCCAGAGAAAGATTACCCTTACTTGAATAATTTTTCCTTCAAAGATATTGTTAATGAGTCTCTTCAACCTGGCAGTTGAATTAGAACAAATTACTGATCTGTCTCTGATGTCTTGTAAATTGAGCAAGTGAAATTACTTTTGATGTACAAAAGCATAAAAGTTGTAAGTTGTCTGTGAACCAGTCAAATATTTTCTTATTTACTAGAGTTGTGTAAACAAAGATAGTAGTGGAAGCAAACGATGAAAAGCAAGCAGCTGAAAGGAACCATTTACTAAAGAATGAGCTGCAAGATGCGAAAGTTAATGTGATATACAAAAGCAAATTCTTTGGCAGGAATGTCAGTGAGAGGCAGGGTGGCAGCATGCAGCGTGGGAAAAAAAAAAACCTGCAACCGTCCGGCACAAAAGGGAGAGGTGTCTTACTCTCTCCATAAACACCCACAAATACAAAGATTAATTCATAGTTGTGTTTAATAACACAGCAAGCATAGATTATGTACTGGTTTACTGATGTTAGTTTGCTTAATAGACAAGAATGAAATTTAAAAGAAAAATACCTCTGTCTTTAGATTTCATTTGCTTTCTATGTGTGAAGATAGGCATTGTGGGATTGATATGAAATTCTTTAGTTATGTGTTTGTACTTGGGATGTAACATGAATTTTGGGGTTCAGCCTTATTTCTAATGTTTAATGAACATTTATCAATTGTTGCATTTGTTTTAATATAGTACACCTCTCCTACTTGTCGTGAGGGGGGATACATTGCAAGACTCCTAGATAGATAACTGTAACTACAAATAAGATTTAATATTATATATAGATGAATGGATGGATAGCTAGCTGGATGGTGTTGATTTCTATGTCCACATTGACAAATGCTTTATCTCTGATATCAAGCAGTCTTTCCTCATAAATATAGAATATTTTAAACAATGTAATCATATACAATGTTCTTCCTCTGCATGTATATCTATGATAATGTTTAAATTATAAATTAAGACCAATATAAGATTAATAATTATACCTAATAATAAGATACAACAATTATGACAATGTACTAGATTAAAAATAGTATATCTGTTCTTACTATAGATCTTAGTAACCTTGGCATACAATTTTTATCTTTTTACTTTTTTTACATTAAGATGAATGTTCACGTTTCCACATAAAAAAGGCACTTTGTCTTCTCTTTGGTATAGCTAAATAGCCAACATCACTATTTTTGTACTTTGGAACTTAAGTCCAGAGCCAGTGCAAGGGGGTCTTGTGAGCCCCTGAATCTAGGTTACCACCACCCAAATCTATGATATGCCCCCCCTCCCGGGTCTACTACATTTCAATTTTCATAAGGAAATATTCATATA